TCTGTCAATAAACATGCTCCTGCTCACACCCCATCCCCATCAGGTTGATGTTCCTCCATCTTCCAACCTCAGGATCAAACTCCAGCCCACCTTTCCCACCAAGGTGAGGTCTACACTGATCTGCTACCCTGAGCATGGGTGGTTGCGGACTTGCAGGCGAAAGAGAAGACCTGAGAGGAACTTACATAGAACTGAAAATGCAAGAAGTGGGCCAGCACTCTGGGGGCCACACCAGGAAAGGTGGCCAGGAGTGTCTGGAGGTAGACCTCCAAATCCTTCTCCCTCTTTTCCACCAAGCTTCTTGAGTTTTTCCCAATTATCTTTTTGGGCGGAAGCAGATTTTTATCTATCTTCTTCTCTGCAACAAGCTGTAAGAAAACATAAGCATGTCAACCATAGACCAAGAGGCTCTGCAACTGTGCAGGACCAAGGCAGGCAGCCTGGTACTTGACATGACTTCCTCAGTTGCTCGTAGCAGCTGTACCAGGATTAGTGATCAAACCCAGTGCATCTGGGCTTGACCTCATCGAGTTCAATTAGTTATTACAAATACCAACACAATTCCAGAGAGGAAGCTCCATCTGGAGGCATTTAGAAAAGGAGACCTCTAGACACTGAAAAATCACCACTTTCTCTAAACAAGAAGGAAAACCAATCAGGGTGGTGGCCTGTCTTTAAAACACTCAGGTTGCGAATGACCCAGAAAAAGGCCTCTCTTTCCAAAAGTGAAGAAAGAAAAGGAATCACAGCCAATTTTAAAGTACAGGCTACAGATTAGCTACAGTCAGGTCAATCAAGTTCAAACCTGTTCCCTCCTCAGGAAACTGTCCCAGCATCTCACATCCAAGCTAGGACTGGCTATCTTAAAATTGAAGTTCAAATATGCTCCTCGCACACTATCTCATGGTAGGGTGGAACTCCCAGGCGCCACGAGGTGTTTTTACCAGTTAAATTAATAAACTGGTTTATTAAAGAATACTATAGACATGGAGTCTGTTTTGTCCTAAAACTATTATGTGGCACAATGAAAACTTGACCTAAAAGCCCCCAAGCCCTGAGACACAGGTCCCCCAGCTCTTCCTACCTTTTCATGCAGATCATGGAAGTCGCTGTAGCGGTGCTTGACTGTCCATTCATGGTTGCCAACAGTGACCTGGATGATGTAAACCTAAAAGGGAAAACAATCAGTCCTTGCCTAGTCAGTAACAAGGAGAGCCCCACCCCAACCTTAGCAACAACTGTAGGACACCCAGACCCTATCAACCCCTAGGCCACAGTTAGGCTGCCTTTGACCACCAGCCTCGGCACCTGACTCTTGCTGTGTAGCAGGGCACCCTCTCGGCCTCCTGCATGGCCTACCACTGGGTCTGGCAGGCACATGAGATAAGTCTGTGGCTCTATCCAACAGTGAGGAACAAAAAAGGTGACTATCGTCGCAAGGCACTTTAGCGTTTTGCTTCCATTCTCCAGATAATCCAAAACCCAATCCAAGTGGAGCTTCAGGTAAGGCCACCCTTCTGAGGGAGGCAGAACAGGGCCAGGTCTGGCAGTGCCAGCTTTTCTGCTGTATTTTTTCCCCAGGTACCCTGCCTATATCCTGGAAGCAATCCTTTCCTTAACACTTTTAGCTGGTTAATAGCTGTAATTTCTGTTGCTGAGCCAAGAGTCAAAGCATTAAAAAGGTGATGGGGAAGGGGTGTGGGGAGGGAAGAGTGGTGGACTATCAAGCCCTAACAAAAGGCAAAATGGCTTAGTGGTTAGGGGACTGGGCCTTGGAGCTAAGGAAGACCTAGGTTCCAAACCTGACTCTTGACATTTCCTGGCTGTGGCTTATGTATGACTCACTTATGTAAGTGACTGGGAGCTTAAGTTTTCACTGAGCTTCAGTTCCTCCATCATAAAGTCTGACAGGTTTAATAATCAAATAAGGCAATGCATGCAAAATGCTTTGTACAGGGCCTGACATGCAGCAAGTGTACAATGAAAAGGTAGGTGTATTAATAATACTCAACGCACTCAGAAACAAAATGCTAGGGTAGGCCTCAATCACCCACCTCCTCAAGCCCATTCAGAGGAGCAGCTCAGCACTGTAGAATAAAGAGGGCTCTTTTGGGCTGACCCTCCAGCTCAGTGCAGCCCTTGGTTGATGACCAGCCAGCCACTGGCCTAAAGAACTCAACCCTCACCTAGAGGAGGACCCCTGGTCCTAGTGCCCCACCCCTTTTTGCAGCAAGCAGGGAAGGGAGAGGAGAAAATAATCAACTGTGCTGATGCCTCCACATAGGAGCAGCCATTTCTAAAGGGCTGGCCTGTTGCTCCAGGATTCACCCTCAGCCCCTCTTCCCAGCCTGGTAGTTTCCCTCCCCCTTCTGCCTAAGAAAGTAGGAATGATCCTCTTGAGGAGGGTCAGGATGAGGGCCAAGTGGATGGGGCAAAGACAGGTCCAAAGCCTCCCACCCTCTGGGAACAAAGGACAGGGGGCTGGGAAGTGCTAAGTAAGCCCCCACCTCAGGCAGCCTATCAGGCCCTAGGCCTGGCGTCCAACTCCATCACAGTTGGGAACGCCCTCCCTCCCCCATTCCTGCCCATCATCTCTCCTACAGTCTTGAAATGTGCATTTGTGTGTGTGTGTGTGTGTGTGTGTGTGTGCGCGCGCGCGCGTGCGTGTGTGTGTGGGGCGGGGGGGGGGGGGGGGCCGAGGTTGCTGCCACCCCAGTGTGCTCCTAATGAAGACCCTTCAGATCCCTGGGTCTTGCATTTTCAGCCCTGAGGGACCCCGCTCTCTAATCCCCCGTATGAGATCCACCCTCTCTTTCTTGTCTCTGCCTAACCCCTAAAACCTCGGCACCCCAAATCCGTCCTCATTTCTTGAGAATATCTGAACTGCGACCCCAAGCCCCCAGATCAAAACCCTGCCCTCTTTCCGATATGGACTGCAGGGTTCTCCGAATTCTATTCATCAGGCACCCCTCCCTAATCCCCTCCTCCTGGACCCCCTGTCTTATCCTCCCAGGCTGGCGCCCCTCCAGGCCTAAAGAATCTAGAGGCGCCTCCTCCTCATCTAAACCTCCCTCTTCCCCAGAATCCCTTTATCCCTAGATCCTCACCAACCCAAGCCTCCCTTCCTGAAGGAGTACGCCTTCCCAAAACCCCTCCTTGGGGCTCTTCCGGGACCTACGGGGCCCACACCCCTTCCCCAGATACCCCTATCCCAGGCCCCCTCATCAAAATTGCTCGCCCCCTACCCATCCCTCCTGGGTCGTGGAGCCCAGACCTCCTCCCCAACCCCCACGACTCGGACGCTAGGTTCCAGCCACCACCCCCGATTCGGGTGCCCGTGCCCTCAGCACACCGTATATGTGTCCACGAGCTCAGAGCCCACGACGCGTGCCTCCTTCGCGGGCTCGTCCTCCGGCTCGGGGCCAAAGCTGCGCGCCGCAGTCGCCATATTCCGGGCTTCGCGGCCACCCGGCGCAGACAGGCAGCATCAAGGGGCGGGGTCAGCGTCCCACCGCCCCCTGGCCCCCACGGTCCCCCGCCCCCACCCCCGTCGCGCGCCACACCGCCATCTTGGCTCCACCGCTTCCTCGCGGCTTTGCCCCGCCCCTCGCGCGTATATTGACAGCAACCACTCTTGGCGCGCGTGCGCAGGCCGCGCGGGCCTTTCCGCTTGCGTAATTTGTGCCTGGTTTGCGTAGCCTTTCGCATTCTTTGCAGCCGAGGAGAAACTGAGGCGGGTAGTATTGGGTAATACTATTCGGTGCCTGGGAGGGAGGACAGAAGGCCTGGCACCTGCCTGGTTACCCGAAGCAAGTCACTGCTCCGTCTGGCTTCAGTTTCCCCTTCTGAGAAAGGAAAGAAGTAATGTCTCCTCAGTTGGCTCCTGGGCTCACTCTCTCTCTGTAGGTCACTAGAGGATTGAAGAAGATACCAGCCGTGCTTAGAGTCCAGAGCAACTGACAATTGTTAACCTCTCCAAGACTCGACATACCGTCATGTGGGCTGCTGGAGGATTGAGTGGGTTAATTCAAGAAGTACCCTGGCTTGCAAGGCAGGGAGCTGGTGTGATTATCTAGAGAAAGCTCAGTATGGGGCAGCAGGGTAAAGATGGAAGGAAGGCATATGTGCTGGCCATTGGGCACAAGGCTCCCAGGTGGTTTCCTACTAGAGTTTGAAATGAGAGGGGCGACAGACTGGTCCTGAACCCAGGAACTACAGTGTTGGAATGGGAAGCATAGGCACAGATACAGAGTCATAACCCAGAGGAAGGCCCAGACCTAGAAGGAGGTGGTGGTAACTCAACTGGATTGGAAAGGGAGAGTCTGGCATAGATAGGACATCTGTAGATGTGTTTGTTGCCTGACTGAGCTCAACTGGCCAAAGCTCCGAGCTAGTACTGCTCAGATGAGATGAGAAGTCTGGGGCGTGGTTCCTGTGGCACCCCTGGCTGAAGGGCTCCAGACCAGTCTGTTCCTAAGGTGGGTCAGTGACTTCTCCACCAGTTCCACAGCACTGTACTCTGAGCTTAGCATTAGAGGCTTCTCTTAGCAGGGCCCTATACTTCTAAGCCTCTCCTTGCATATAGCTGCCTCCTACTGCAGAGAAGTTAAGTTGACCATCAGCCAGACTTTGGGCAAGTCACTACCCTTCCAGGATCCTCTCAGTTCCCTTATCTGAAAAGTGGGAGTATTGCTCACTTCCCTGATTGGATAGGGTAAGCTGCTGTGTGTAGGTGCCTGACCTGGGCTCCACTACTTTGCAGCCCTTGTCCTGTCCTAGACTCATGTTTTCATTCATTGAAGAAAACTTTCCAGAGAGTCCTCTGGGGATCATGGGGGAACAAAGGGAAAGAGACCTGGTCCTAACAGCTCTTCATCTTCCTGCCCTGGACAGAGGACACAGGGACTCAGGCCAGCCTGAGATCACCAGGGCTGGGGGAGGGGGTGGAGGATGCTACACGTAGGGGTGGGCTGGGCCCGGAATGCAGCTGGGCAGGGCTATTTAAGTCCAGGGCCTCCTGGCAACTTCAGCAGCCTGCCCTCTGAGCCGACAGCATGGATGACATCTACAAGGCTGCGGTGAGGGACTGGGATTGGTGGGCCCCCTGGGGAGTCACTCAGCTCAGGATGGGGGGATCCAGGAGAGGCCCTCAAGGGGATGATGGGTCTGGCGTTCTGGGGTGTGTATTGGAGAAGAGCTGTCAGGGAGGAGAGAGGACGAGGTTGTACGTTCCAATATCATGTCTGCCTCTGTCTCCAAGTGTCTGTAGTCTGTGTCACTGTCTCTCGGCCATATCGCTCTGCATTTGTGTCTTTGGTCTCTGGACCTTTGCCTTTCTCAGAGTCTTTCCATCTTTTTGTTCTGAGCTATCTCTGAGTCTGTCACTGTCTCCTTGTCCCCACACTCATTTCTGCCCTTCGAATTATGATTTTCACTCTCTCACAATCCCCCAGCCCCCTCCTGCCCCTGGGCTGGCTGAAGATGTGGAAGGGGTGATAGGGTTTGTGAGGAGGAGGCTGCAGAACTAAATCTTGAGCTGGGGAAGGAGCTTTGAAGTTTGAGGCAGGCAGGGGTCAGGGGGAGAGCCAGGAAGAAGGAACAGAGGCTGAAACCCCACCTGGCAGGGGAGCCTCAGGGCTCAGTGGCTTAGCTGGGGGTTAGGGCCGAAGAGTGGTCACCTCATATCCCGTAGCCTTCTGAGGTCACTGAGGGGCTTAAGATGCTATTCCATCTCAGGGAGGCTAGTTTGCTGACCTCCCTATGCCCCACAGACAAGGACATCTGGCAGAGACAGCTGTCCCCAAAGGAACCCCTCTCTCAGCCCCAGGATTGTGGTCCTACTGCTGGACAGGAAAGGGCCACAGCTGGCTCTGGGGGGTACCCATCCTGAAGGAGTCCATAGGGCTGGGAGGAGCAGCCCTCTGCCCGTGTCCATACAAGGCCTGTCCGTCCTGGGGACTAATTTTGGTTCCTGAGGCACCAGCAGGCCAGGGGGCCAGATAACGCTGCCCCTCCCCCTGCATGCCAGAGTCCCGAGAACAATCACCAGGTTTAACTTTGTCCCCCGTTAAAAATAACCCAGTGTCCACCCTGGTCAGGTTACAGTCAGTGGCTTCACCTACCCCCACACTGGTTTTATTGTCCCAACCTGAGGGACAGCTGTCTCTCGGACTACCCAGCTTGGGTTTCAGCAGGGCAGCCGATAGGGCATTGAGTGGTCACTGACTATTGTTACTCAGGGTCACCTTAGTCCTGGAGGGGGTGCCCACCTGTCACCCTGGCCCTGAGCCCAGTCTCTGTGAGGTCATCTGGGTCACTGAAGGGCTTTGAGAGCCGGGAGGGAAGACCAAGACCTCTGCTCTGTGACCTGGAAATAGCCTGCCTCTTCCTGGGTTCAGTCGTCCTACCTGTGGAATGGGTTGGTTTCCTCAACAGCGGCTGGAGCCTGAGTCCTGAGACCTCGTTTCCTCTCTAGGTAGAGCAGCTGACAGAAGAACAGAAAAATGGTAAGTGCCCAACACACAGGGCTAGGCTGGGGGAGCATGAGGACCCCAGGCTGGAGACCAGAGCCTGGGGTCTCCCTTGCTGTGGCTATAGAGGTCTCAGAGGGAAGTGGGCAGGTCGGTAGGTGGCCCCAGGGTTCTGGCCTTCTGGGTTCCTGGCTGCTGATCTCTGGCCACTCTGCTCCCCTTCCCCTGTCGGACACAGAGTTCAAAGCGGCCTTTGACATCTTCGTGCTGGGTGCCGAGGATGGCTGCATCAGCACCAAGGAACTGGGCAAGGTGATGAGGATGCTGGGCCAGAACCCCACGCCTGAGGAGCTGCAGGAGATGATCGATGAGGTGGACGAGGATGGTAAGCCCCTCTGCCCTGCCAGGCCCCAGACCCATAGCACCCCCAGGTCACTGGGGACCCGAATCCTGGCTCTGCCACTTATTATTCTATGCTCTTGAAGGAGCTTTTGAGCCTTGATCATTTCATATATAAAGTGGGTGTAATGACCACCTTGCCTCATGGAATTTGGTGTGTGGTTGCAGTGAGAATACTGAGGTCTAGGGTCACGGGCGGTACCAGCCTTCTGACCATCCCTCTCTAATGGCCAGGCAGTGGCACAGTGGACTTCGATGAGTTTCTAGTCATGATGGTTCGGTGCATGAAGGATGACAGTAAAGGGAAGTCTGAGGAGGAACTGTCTGACCTCTTTCGCATGTTTGACAAGTGAGTGTGTGTCCCTTGACCTCTGACCCCAACTCTAGCAGAGCTGGGGAAAGGGACAGCCTTATGACCTCCAGGCCTCAGTGTCCAGTTCTGTGTAATGGTGGGGGAGTGGGATGCCTCATCTCCCAGTGGCCCTGCCTTGCCCCCTGGGTTGTGGGTGGGGCTGGCTCTTCTTCCTCTTGGCCCCCACCATAGGTCTGAGACCTCCGTTGCCCTTACACCTTGCAGAAATGCTGATGGCTACATTGACCTGGATGAGCTGAAGGTGATGCTTCAGGCTACGGGTGAGACCATCACGGAGGATGACATCGAGGAACTCATGAAGGATGGTGACAAGAACAATGATGGCCGCATCGACTATGATGGTGAGGGATGGTGCCCTGGACCTCCAGCTGCCCATGTCCTGCAGGTTCCCAGCTCTGACCCACGCCTGCCCTTCTCTCCACAGAATTCCTGGAGTTCATGAAGGGGGTGGAGTAGATGCTGACCTTCAGCCTTCATCCAGAGCTGCGTGTGCTACCTTCCAATTCCAGCTGGGCCCTGGGGTAGAGCAGGGGGCCTGGGTTCCCAGGATGTCCTTGACCAAGGGCCCTCCCTGACTCCCTCCTGAGCCCTATCCTGGGGGATGCAAATAAAGCTCTGCTCCCTGGAGGCCTGGTGTCTTACTTTCCTTCTAGGGGAGCTGTGGACATTTCACCAGCCAGTGTTTACTCATGCCCTGAGGACCACTTTCTTCCCTATCCTAAGGCCCTTGCTCTGACCAGCCCTGCAATCTGCCTTCCTTGGGAGGAGTTAGGTTAGATCAGAGACTACACATTATATACCTCACTGCTTCCTTTCTGTAACTGCTGATGCCCAGGCCCCATCTCTAGCAATTCAGCATCTAGAGTTTGTGGTGGCCCAGGAATCTGCATTTCACAAGCTCCTGGGGGCTATGGCTTTGGTCAGCCTGTTGGCAGCCAGGGGGTCTTGTACATGGAGGGAGGAATAACTGCAGCACCCAACTAGGCACTGGATGCCTCTTGGCACAGCAGCCCGAGCTCCATATTGGGTCTGGTTGGGGAGAAGCAGAGCACTGTGGGGCCCAGTGAGCTTGCAGCTGTAGTTCATCTTCCACTCACTTGGATTTCCCTTTGGTAACATTGACTCCCAGGGATCAAGGGATATATATCCTTTACTCCACCTTCCCTTACTCACATGACAGGTCCCTGGGGCCCAGGGAGGCACAGGAACCTATAACAGTCATCCAGTGAGTCAGGGGAAAAGCGCAACCACATGGATCTCAGTGAGGGCTCTGTTTGATGAACCAGGTCCATGTGAGAATAATTTCTTGAACCTCAGAGGCTCCAGTGACCCACTTTTCCTCCCTGACAGGGAATGGAAGCTCAAAGTCCGGTGGCTCGCAACTTAGTGGGAGTACCCAGGCCACGGCTGCAGCTAGAAGAGTGATACTGGTCTTGGGGGGAGGGGGACTGCAAGGAAGTGGAGGTGTAAGCTGTCGTGCTTGCAGGAGGGACAGCTGCCATCCTGTCTAGGCTCCAGCCAGAATGTCAGCAGCTGTCCTTGCTCCACCCAGGCACTCCCCAGCCTCCCCAGCCTTGGCATTCCTCAGACAGGCCCAACATTCCACAGACGGTCTCGGAATTCTGGAGATGCCTCCAGTGGAGGCCAGAGCTGGCAGGAGACCACAGAGAGCGCTGAGGGGAGATGAGAAGGATCCCCTCACGCCTGCCCGTGGGAGCTGGAGAACTCGAGGACTTCCACGCGTCCCCAGGAATGAAGATATCTCAGGAGAGTAGGCAGTGCTGCAATGGGCAGCACCACCCACCAGTGCGCCATTTCATGGTTTAGTCACCCCACCTAGGTGCCTGGCACTGGTTGGATGCTGGGACCCTTCAGAGAGTCACGCAGTTCCTAATTTTGTGGAATTTATAGACACCTCAGGAAGGCAAAGAGGGAGATGAATTCAGTGAGGAAACCTGCACAGTGCTGGAATGAGAATTGTAGAGGTGTGGTGGCTGTGGGATAGAGTGGTCTGGGGAGGCTTCCTGGAGGAGGTGGCACTGAGCTGAGACCTGAAGAACCACAGAGAACCTGCCATGAGAGGGCACAGGGAAGGAGACTGGAACATTTCAGGAGCAGAGAGGCAGCCTAAGAAGCCTTAGAGTGAGAAGGCCGGTGGCTCTCAGCACAGTGGGGCAAGGAGAGTGGAGGGAGGTGCATGGATTCAGGGCATATTTGGAACTAGGAGGATTGAATGTGAAAAAGTAGGGAGTCAAGAATGACCTTTCATATCAAGGATGAAGCTGCTGCTTCCTAACATGTGGAAGCGAGACACAGGTTCTTGGTGGTGGGACATTGGAAAGTGAAGATTCCTTTTTTTCTTTAAATTTTTAAAAATTTTTATATTTTCTTTAAATTTTTAAAAATTTATTGATTTCATTTTTTTTAGAGAGAGAGGAGGAGGGAGAGAGAGTGAGAGAGACAGCAACACCACTTTGTTGTTCCACTTATGCGTTCATTTGTTTCTTGGATGTGCCCTGACAGGGGACTTAACCTGCAACCTTGGTAGGTTGGGACATCGCTCTAACCAAACGAGCTGCTGGCCAGGGCCTATATTTTTTTACTTTTCATTTTGAAATTCTAGACTTGCAAAAATAGCATGAAGAACTCCCACTTGCGCTTCACCCAGCTTCCCCAAGTGTTAACATCTTAAATAGCCACAGGACAACGAGCAAACCCAGGCCAGTACTAACTCGTCTGCTGTTCTCACTCCCATTTGTCGGTTGCCCTACGGAAGACCTCTTTCTGGACCAGGACCCCACCCAGGGTCACGCACTATGTCTTGTCATCCTGTCCACTTACTCTTCTCTGATCTGTGACAGTTTCTCAGTCTTTCCTCGTCTTCATGACACTGACACTTGAAGTATAAAGGCCAGTTATTCTGTAGAATCTCACACAATTTGGGGTTGTCTGGGATTTCTTCAGGACTGGATTCAGATTATGCATTTCTGGCAGGATTGTCACAGGGGAAATGGAGAGTCTTTGGTCCTTGTCAAAGTTGAGATGCCTCTGGAACAGGATGGTGGGGACGTCAAAACAATGCTGGACACAAGAAGAGGGCAGGGGGAGAGCTATAAATTCAGGTGTCGTCAGAGTAAGAAACGCTTTCCCAGCCCTAGTCCTGGTTGAGACCCGCGGAGAGGGTGTGTCGAGAGAGGTGGCCCTGAGCGGTGCACCCGACATCCCGCATGGGCAGTTTCAGGGAAGAGCTGTGGCCGATGAAGGGGGAGGGACCCTGGGTGAGTGAGGGGCCTCAAGAACCAGGAGAGAAGGAAGGAGGAGTGAAAGACAGAGGATGGTTCTGGCCTTAAGGAACTTGGAGGCCCTTGAGGCCTTGTCAACCTGGACATGAGAGTTTCACTGGAGCAGTGGGATAGTAACCTGGCTGGGGAGGACCGAAGGACTGAGCGAGGTAAAAGGGAGCGGGAGAGTATGGACAACACTGGTGAAGTTATGCAAATGCTCAGGGAACAGAGCAATGGATGGGGGCCGAGGGGAGATGTGAGTCCAGGGAAGCTCCTTTAAGGAGGGGCATCAGGGAACAGCCTGTACGCTGATAGGCATAACCCAGGAAACTGGAAAAGGGGTGATGCAAGACGCAGGGCAGAGCTGTAGAGGGTGAGTGGCTCCAGGGCTCTGGGGGTATCTTAAGGGTTAAGGTATTGCACTGGGCTTTGATCCAAGCTGAGCAAAAAGTGGGGCTCAAGGCACTGAGGGAAGAATTGTGTCAGTGGAGATACTGAGTGTAGGAGGTGTGTCCAGATGAAGGGATGTTCTGAATGGAGATATAAAAGGTCACACCCTTATTGGCGGTGACGTGCAGGATGGGTGGCTGAGGTGAGAAGAGGAGAAGGACAGGAACCTGAGAGACCAGAGGCAACCAAGGCATGTGAGATGCTGATAGAAGAGGTGGAGGGGAAGAGAGAAACCCCGAGTTAAGCTCTCTGTGAATGAAACAGGAGAACTGGGCCAGCTACTAAGAGGGTACATGGGTGGGGTGGGGGTGGGCTGGCCAGTGCCTGAAGGAAAGTGTCTGCAGGGAGGGAGCCCAATGGGATTGTTCCAATATCTCCGTTCCAGAATGAAGTTGGTGGGGGAGGGGCTGGGGCATCCCTTCCTTCTGAGCATCCCCTCCTCCCACCTCCCCACCCTCGAATTCTGGCTGGAAGAGGCTGAGCTGTGACACTCCACATATCTACCTGGCAGCATCTGATGCATGAACACTCATCACACAAGCTCCCATAAGCACATGGCATTGAGCTCCTCTACATACATCCTCTAGTTCTTACTGTTTTGCTTCCTCCACTCCTCTCCCTCTCTTGTGGGCTGTGTCATCCTTTGCCTGGATAGTGCTTCCTTCATGAAGCCTCCCTAGACTTCCTCCAATGTCTCCTGGAATGCCTGTGACTGGAACCTCACTCATCGGCTCTGCCTCTTCGTTTTATGATTGCCTGTCTAGTGCCTGCTGCCCCAAGAGGCTGTGGTTTCTCCTGGGTGGCCCTGCTGATCTGCACAGGGCCTGACAGAGCCCGAACTCTGGGCTCTCCTGCAGTTCCCACTTTGTCCATTAGATGGCTCAACATGCACGTGGCTGGGCCCACGGATGCTCAGGGGCACCTTTGGGTCTATTTTCCACTTGCAGCCTGCAAACAGGGACCTTTACAGAAGATCCTTACTTTCTTCCCAGACTGGGAAACTGAGACCCAAAGAAGGTGAGGACCTGCCTGAGGCCACGTAAGAAATTAACCTTAGATTTCGGGCTGCCAGCCCCTGTTGGGAGGGGGCCGCTCCCACATCCTGCTCCGGTAGATCCAGGCTTCCCCTGCAGCCTCAGCTGGGCGTCTGGCTGAGCCGAGACCCACAGGGTGAGCTGGCAGGCTGAAGACTTGTTGGGCCTCTGCCCAGGGCCTGTGGCTACATGCTGGCTGAGGGGCTGCCTGGCTCAATCTCCAGCCAGGTATCGGCCCCCACCCCAGGCTATCTCCCGAAACATCTCTCCAGGGAGACGGAAGCAGAGGGGCTTCACCCCTCTGAGGGACCGGGATATAATGATCGTTGTGGCAGTCCCTGTGCAAGCAGTCCTCGCCAATTTATACAGCCTGTTACACCCGAGGTGACTGGTCCCTGGCCCTGGAAGGAGATGGAGACCCGGAGAGCAAAGGAGGGCTTTGGCCAAAGTTATCCAGTGGAGTCAGAGACAGGTGGTGTGAGACCTGCCACTGGCCTCCCCGAGTAGCCCTTTCTGCAATCCCGGGTCAGAGCCCCTGTCCCCCCACCGCCCGCTCCCGGAGGAGGTGTGTGTATGTCAGGGGGAGGTGGGGACAAGGAGACAAGGTTCAAGGTTCCTGCATCCTTCTCATGCTAACTCAGGGGGCCAACCTGTTTACCTTCCAAAGATGAGATAGGGAGGAGAAGCAGGGTCCAAGCACCAACCCCAAGAGCCTCCAAGGCAACAAAGAATCCTGGGAAGGGGCAGCTTTGGTGGGGCCTGTTCTCCACCTGCTATGTCCCTTCCTTCTCCAAGCCCCTAGTCTGAGGGGTTGGGTTGGTTCATCTGGGAGGCCTGATTTGCAGGAGTTTCTAGAATTCTGGGAGTTCCAATTGTGGCTCAAGGTTGAAAAATTCTTTGCTCTCAGAGCCTCAGGTTCGGAGTGTAGGGGTCTGGAATGAAGTGGAGCGGCAGCTGCGGGGGCACAGGGACAAGAACTACGGCAGGACAGGAGGCGTGCGATAGTCCCCTCACTTGCCTTGGTTCGGCCCCTCAGTCTCATCTCCTCCATGTCCCTTTCTGTGGCTTTCTTGTCCCCTGGATCTGAGCTCAGGGCAGAGGGAATGGGGATGTGAGCAGTCTCACTTCACCCTCGCTCTGGAGGGTTCCTATGTCTAGGGCCTATGGAGCACGGGGAGGTTCTGGAAAGAACTCACCGCCCCCTGAGTGACACACCGGGCCCTGGGTCTCTGGAAAGGACTGGATGGCTGAGAGAGGCAGGACCGTGGGAGGGTCCCCGGCCCAGTGAGTCAGGATGGGGCCTGGAGGCCAGACATTCATCTCTTACACATCCCAGATCTGTGAAGTGTGGCAAACCTCAAGCTTCCATCCAGAACTTGGAGCTCCTTCAGCTGGAATGACCGGCCCCTCCCGTGCCCTCCTCCCACCCCAGGCACCCAGGCACACAGACACACCGTGCAGGGAAGCTGGGGAGCCCCGCCAAGGCTGAAGGGGCTGGACCTTGCTGATATCAGAGACAGGGGGCCTAGAGTCAGTTTGTCTGTGTGTGTGTTTGGCGGGGGTGTCTCAGTCACAGGCACTGGAGGGGGAGAGAGCAAAGGAGAGCCCAACCAGACCCTCACCCAGCCCTCTAACCTCTGATCTCTGACTCCTGACCTCTCTTCCAGGTTATCTCCCCCTTGACATTTTGCTAGAGCCTAGAGACGGGTTTGTGGTCATTTGTGTGTAAACTACCCACACCCCAGCTGGGAAAGAGCCTCCCCAGCGGGGAACCGGGGGACCAGCCAATCAGACAGAGGCGTCAACAGGCCAGTCGGGATGGAGGGAGTCAGTGCAGGTGCAAAGCACTGCTCGGCCCGTCCCTCCTCCTCCGTCTTCCAGGCTCTGGACGGGGCGGAGCCACTGCCTTATAAGTGGCAGAACTGTCGGCGGGAGAGCAAACTGCAACCAGCGGTGGGACCAGAGGGTGGCTCCTCGGGCAGCGTGGTGCCCTCAGTCCCCCAGCATGACCCCCTCGGCCTGGGCCATCTGCTGCCTTTTGGGGGGCTTCCTGCTCCGCGGGAGCAGTCCCAGTTCCGGCCCCGGCCCCAGCGTGCCCCGCCTGCGGCTCTCCTACCGAGGTACGGACCCGTGTGCCCTGTTCGTTTGCGTGTCCGCGGGAATCTGGGGTCCTGCAGCACCGTCAGCTGTGGGGATCCAGCCACCCCGGGCCGTCTGTTTTGCCGGCTGGAGGGATGCAGTCATTCCCTGCACAGCCCGTGGGAAGGATATTTCCGCCACTCCCTCCGGACGGTGTTCCTCTGGCTACTGCCAGAGGCGGGCACTGAGGAGAAGGCAAGGGACAGCTCCCGGAGGCATGGCCAGGGTGGAGGTGGCAGAGACAGAGACACTAAGAGGAAAACCTGAGGATTTGTTGAGAAAAGGAGAAAGACCAATGGAGACCCTGAGTGACCTCTGTAGAGATGAGCAGAGAGTCGGGGATGGGCAGATGGGGCATGTCTGAAGGACTTGTCTGTACTCAGTGAGGGCTCCTCGCCCAGACCAGACAGTGGAGGAGCAGGATCTTGCCCCTCCCCTCCTCACCCTGCAATAGGGCCCTCACCCTGTCCCCAAGCCTCCCCCTACCACCCACCTGCCTCTTTGCAGCCCACTTCCCAGTGCTGGCCTTACTCCTCCCTCTCCATCCCAGCCCTGGAGTTCCTCTGTAGAGCTAACCTGATGTGTTGTGCTGCAGCTGGCACAGGCCTCCTCTGAATCAGTAGAGACAGTACACAGGAAAAGGTCCCTGAGACACAGGCTCTCCGCAGATTCTTCTCAGGGAAGCCAGAGGAGTGATCGCCTTTCCCCGGGAACCCCAGTGTAAGCGGGGAGACCCAGGCTCTGGAGAGTATGAGGAGGGAGATAGGGCTCCACTCTGGAGAGTCTGAAAATGGGATCCAGGGCAGAGAATGCAGTCCTGCCCTTGAAGCTCTGGTTTTGGAGGGAAGTCAGGCTGTAAGAAAAAGCCTAAATAAGGCAAATCCCTTCCAAAGTATTGTCAGCCACAGGGGGCTTCCTGGAAGAGACCGTTGGTGAATTTGGGGATAGAGCCGGTGCCGGGCCGTGGATGAGCCCTTGGGCAGGCACGGGATACTTGGCCCACCCACCTTGCTGTCTGCCCCCTTACCCACCCATCACCTCCAGCTCCCTAGCCTAATGCCAGGGGTTTATTTCAGGATCCTGACTCCTACAACCAGCATCCCCAGACAGCCACCCTCCATCCCCAGGGCCTGGGTGGGCAGGTCTGTAAAGGAGAAAGTCTTCTTTAGCCACATCGTTGGACTAGAGCCCGGAGCTTGGCCTGGCCATGCCCAGCCTCTTCCATACCCAGGCCTTTTCCAGGTGTTCCCTCTGCAGGAAACATCCTCCCCTGCCTGTCCACTTGCACGCTGCTCAGGCTCGCCCTCCCCTCCTCCACTTTGCTGCCATGAGTCCTGCTAGGAGAGCCATCTTCCCTGGGGATTGCGTAGAACACAGACGGTCCCCTGGGGAGGAGAAGGGAACTGAAAGATAAAGGGTTAAGGAATGGAGGATAGGAATTGCCCCCCAGGTGGGTTGGTCTGGGTGGGGGCTCAGAGCCCCCTGTCCCACACGCCCCCCTGGGAGCCATTTCCCAGAAGCCCTTCAGCAGCCCTATGGATGGAAACATTTTCCAGATGTGTGTGTGGGGTGAATGCACAGCTGGGACCCTCTACTTCCACACCTTGGCTGAGAGGGCTCTGACCCCTCCCTTGCTCCCTTGTAGACCTCCTGTCTGCCAACCGCTCTGCCATCTTTCTGGGACCCCGGGGCTCCCTGGACCTTCAGGCTATGTACCTGGATGAATACCGAGACCGCCTCTTTTTGGGGGGTCGCGATGCCATCTACTCTCTGCAGCTGGACCAGGCATGGGTAGACCCCAGGGAGGTGAGCTGGGATGACTGCGGAGAGGGTCTGTCTGTCTGAGAGCTGGGCAACTCTGGGTGGGGGCTGGATGGGGAAACTGAGGATGTGAGGTCAAGAGTCAGCCAGGCTGTGTTTCAGGTCCTGTGGCCGCCGCAGCCAGGACAGAGGGAGGAGTGCATTCGGAAGGGAAGAGATCCTTTGGTGAGTGCTTGTCCCCAACCCTGACCGACACCCCAGAATAGCCTATGGCTGGCCACTCCGGCTCCCTGAACTGAGATCATGCAAAACAGATACGGAGGGCTCTTGAAGGTCCATGAAGAATGTCACCTTAGACCCCCAGAGCTGACCAGCCTGGCAGGGCTGAGCCTGGGGATCTGAGGAGATGGTGAGCGGCCCCGCGGCCCCTACCCCTCTCCCCACTAGATGGAATGTGCCAACTTTGTGCGGGTGCTGCAACCTCACAACCGAACCCACCTGCTGGCATGTGGCACTGGGGCCTTCCATCCCACCTGCACCCTCATTGCGGTTGGACATCGTGGGGAGGTGAGCCTGGGGTGGGCCCCAAAATGGGCTGGGAAGCAGAGACATTTGCCCCAGGCTGCTTGAACACTCCCCATTGAGCCTGGGTCAGGGCAGAGGTCTCAGGGACCTGAAAGGCGCCTTTGTGCCAGAGAGTTTACCCCATTGGCATGGCCCTGAATCAAGGGTGCCGTCACCCACCCCCAGTATCCAGCTGCACGCAATGGCCACTGCCTGGGTGGGGGGTGCTGGCATTACTTTCCCAGGTGACACCCCTCCTTCCTTCTCCCCCAGCATGTGCTCCACCTGGAGCCCCGCAGTGTTGAAAGTGGGCGGGGGCGGTGCCCTCATGAGCCCAGCCGTCCTTTCGCCAGCACCTATGTAGGTGGGTGATGCCCAGGTTTGGGGGGGGCACAGGGAGGGTGGGAGTCAGCTGATGCCATTGGGAAAGGATGGCGGCTGGGCCCTCCCACCTCCCCTAACTCTGCCTCCGCTCTACCCCAGGTGGAGAGCTGTATACCGGCCTCACTGCTGACTTCCTGGGGCGCGAGGCCATGATCTTCCGGAGCGGGGGTCTCCGGCCGGCCTTGCGTTCTGCCTCTGACCAGAGCCTCCTGCACGGTGAGTCCAGGAGCCTGCTGAGGGCAAGCCTGGCTGGGGTCTGCCCTAGCATTGGCAGGAGGCAGGCGAGCTGATGCTGGATTGGAGACAGGAGGAGCAGCCCATTTCCGCGCCACCCCCTGGGACTCCAGCCTCCAGTGGGGGTTCCTGTACCTCCTTCTCTCCCCATTGTGTTCAGCCACCTGTCCTCCCCTGTAAGGCTCCCCGACCAGCTTCATCCCATCTCCGCGCCCCCTCCCCAGACCCCCGGTTTGTGATGGCTGCCCGGATTGCTGACAACTCTGACCAGAATGATGACAAGGTGTACTTCTTCTTCTCGGAGACTGTCCCCTCACCAGATGGTGGCCCAGGCCATGTCACTGTCAGCCGCGTGGGCCGTGTCTGCGTGGTGAGAGCTGGGAAGGGGCAGTGAGGGGCTTCAGTCCTGCTTGTGCTCTTCTTCCCCAGCCTGTCCCCACCCTCAGCGGTAGGGAAACCGAGGTGAGGGTGTGAAGCCAATGTCCATGCCTCTCCGCCAAAGAGTGAGGGTGGAGGATCGGGAGGAGGGGCCCATCTGTCCTCTGGGACTCAAGGCTGACCCTGACCCCCCAACTTACAGAATGACGCTGGCGGCCAGAGGGTGCTGGTGAACAAATGGAGCACTTTTCTCAAGGCCAGGCTGGTCTGCTCGGTACCTGGCCCGGGTGGGGCTGAGACCCACTTTGACCAGCTGGGTAAGGGCGCGGCCGGGGGCAGGCCTGGGAGCGGAAGAGGGGAGGGCTCAGGGCCAGTGAGTGGGGGACATTGGAAGTGGCCTTCTGTCTCCCAGAGGACGTGTTCCTGCTGTGGCCCAAGGCAGGGAAGAACCTCGAGGTGTACGCGCTTTTCAGCACGGTCAGGTGGGCACGCTGGCCTCCCCTTCCCCTGACCCAGGCCAGGCCTCTGCACCCCGTCTCCTCTGCTGAGCCTCTGCCTTCCTACCCCAGCCTTGCCATGGGTCCCTGTGTCTGTCCCTGATTTGGTGACTCTGTGGCTGTATTTTCTGTCTCCCTTTACTGTTGCCTGGGTGTCCTTGTTTTTCAATTTCTGCTGAATGCAGGCACTGTCGCCCTCGGCCCTGCCCAGGGAGCTAGACTGTCCCCTCCCCACCTATGAAGGCCATCCTGGCCTGACTGTCCCTGTCTGCCCTCTGCAGTGCTGTGTTCCAGGGCTTTGCAGTCTGTTTGTATCACATGGAGGACATCTGGGAGGTCTTCAAGGGGCCCTTTGCCCACCAAGATGGTCCCCAGCACCAGTGGGGGCCCTATGGGGGCAAGGTGCCCTTTCCCCGCCCGGGCGTGGTGAGTATCTGGCCAGGCCAGGGAAGATGGTCAAGCAGATGACAGGCGTGCTCTGTGTTGGGACGTCACTGTGTCTGCCTGCAGCTCCATAGCAGCTCTGAGCTAGGGCTCCAGAGGGACGGGGTCAGGGCGAGGAGTGGCATCACACTGAGCCCTGGCCCCGTTCAGGAGCCTCTCACACAGCGAGAGCAGTCCCTCCGAGGGTGGCGTGCCCCGACAGTGGGGCGTGGAAACAGGCTGGGGCGGGGGATGTGTGGTCCCAGGACTCCAGGTGCTCCCTTTGCCCCCGCCGCAGTGCCCCAGCAAGATGACTGCGCAGCCTGGACGACCCTTCGGCAGCACCAAGGACTACCCGGATGAGGTGCTGCAGTTTGCCCGAGCCCACCCACTCATGTTTCGGCCTGTGCGGCCTCGACAGGGCCGCCCTGTCCTCGTCAAAACCCACATGGCCCAGCAGCTGCGCCAGATCGTGGTGGACCGCGTGGAGGCAGAGGACGGGACCTATGATGTCATCTTCCTGGGGACTGGTGGGTGGGCTGAGGAAGCTGCCTGGACCGGGGAGGTGTGCTGGCCTCCAGGCTGCCCGTCCTCTCCCACTGACGCCTTCTTCCCTGCCTCAGACTCAGGTTCAGTGCTCAAGGTCATGGCCCTCCAGTCTGGGGACTCGGCTGAGCCTGAGGAGGTGGTTCTGGAGGAGCTCCAGGTGTTTAAGGTAAGCGAGGAGGGGGGCCGATGGGAGGGGTCCTTTAAAGCTCCATCCCTGGGTCTAGCCCTGCCTGTGCGGAAGCAGGAGCAAAGCCCAGGAGGGAGATGGGCCTGTCTTTACTGGACTTCCAGCCAGTGGGGGATGAAGTGGGGGCACTCCCCGCTGCAGGGGGCTCGCTGATGCTTCTGAATGAGTGACGGGCCTGCAGATGCAGCGCGTGAGCTGAAAGCTCGGGGGACCCAGGGAGGGAGGGAGGACCAAGGTGAGCATCCCCTTGACAAAGCCCTGATAGGCACAACTCACTGTGAGGGGGTGGCTGAGAGCCCAAGCGCCCAAGGGGTCCCCTTGGCCCCTCTATAGAATCAGGCAAGTGGTGTGTCTGGGGGACTGTCACGCCTTCCAGTGTGGGGTGGGTGATTTGAGACAGCTGCTTCACTGCTGGGGAACAGGGCTGTGTGGGGGGGACGCGGGAGATTTGTGCTTCTAGCCAAGCTTCCTGCTTGGAGGCCAGCCAGGGTAAGGGGACCTTCTTGTAACCTGACCTCTGGGAAAGATTGTCCAGCCGTAGTTGCACTGACCCAGGCTGGGAGCTAGGCGGCCCCCACCTGGGGGCTAAAGGGGGCTGAAAGCAGAGGGTGCGGTGGAGAGCTTTCTGACGCCCTTCTCCTGACACCCTGTGCCTTCCCCAGGTGCCAACAGCCATCACTGAGATGGAGATCTCTGTCAAAAGGGTAAAGCCACTTCACCCCTCCTCTTGCCTGCTTCCTCCCTGCCCTGGCTCGAAGCCTCCTGGGCACTGCCTGCGTCTGCTGGAAAGCCCCTGCAGCAGGCGCCGGGCTGCCTGATGAGGCCCTGCACAGAGGGCTGAGAGTGCTTCTGGGGGCTGAGATTCCCATGCATGAAACCAGTGGGCAGTGGGAGGCCCTGAGTGAGTGAGGCTGTGTTCAGATACAGGGAGCTCCACGACAGGCCTGTTCCTCAGGGGAGGCAAAAAAGTGCTGGAAAACAAAATCCAGATTTAAAATCAAACAAGGGAGCCACTACTTAGAGGCTTGCTATGTCCATTTGCAAGTAGCAAATACCATCTTCCCAAGTTTATCTGCCCGTTCGTCTTTGGGTAAATTCCGACTTTGGTACTGGGATTGCTTAAAGCAGAGTGCACTTCTAAGGTCAGAGGCAAGTCAGGATAAAGGCCTTGGGGTGGAGGGCAAAGGTCAGAAGCAGGGTGAGCCTGGGGTGAGCCCGAGCCTCTTAGAGAAAAGGCCCGAGGTCTGCTCCATGTCCCACATGTCCTAACACAGGACCTGGTATACAGAGTGTGGGTGATAAACGTTCTGTTTCTGTGAATGCACCCAAGAGGTTCTGGAAGACTGCTTAAAAATGCAGGGATCTCAGAAAACCCAAGGAGGCCGAGTGCCTAGCGGCTTCTGGGGAAGCCCAGGCTCACTGTGGGCTCTACTTGGGTCCCTCTCCAGCAAATGCTGTACGTGGGCTCGAGGCTGGGCGTGGCCCGGCTGCAGCTGCACCGGTGTGAGACTTACGGCAGTGCCTGTGCAGAGTGCTGCCTGGCCCGGGACCCATACTGTGCCTGGGACGGCGCTTCCTGTACCCGCTACCGGCCTGGCACCAGCAAGCGCCGGTTCCGCCGGCAGGACATCCGTCATGGCAACCCTGCCCTGCAGTGCCTGGGCCAGAGCCAGGAAGGTGAGTGGCAGCCATTGGGTGCCAGCTGGGCCCTCGCAGGGTTCCGATTCACCCCGTGGCCTGGGCTTAACCCCTGCGAAGTGAGGCCTCAGACTGGTCCTGTTGTAAACTTGTCCTCAGTTTCCCTATCTCTGTGGCTTTGGTCAATATATAGGTGTAGGGTCTTTGGACAGAGGGACTAGCTTGGGGATTAATGGTCCCTATAACACTGGTGGGGGCTCCTGGACTGGGAGTCAGGGGTCCCATACATAGTTCCTGAGCTGAGCCCACCTCTGCCCCCCTCCAGAGGAGGCTGCAGGAATTGTGGGGACCACTATAGTCTATGGCACAGAGCACAACAGCACCTTCCTGGAGTGTCTGCCCAAGTCTCCCCAGGCAACCGTGCGCTGGTTCCTGCAGAGGCCGGGGGACCAGGGGCCTGACCAGGTGAGTGGACCCTGCCTCTAGTTTGTACTTGCCCTTAGGTCTTAGGTCACATCCCTCCCTGAACCCCAAGTCCTAAGTCCTAGAAAGGGGCTCTGAGGAGAACCTGCCAAGTTCAACGGAAGAAAACTGTGTATTAGGCCCCTGAGGTGCCTGCAAGGAGGTACCCCGCTCCTGTCACCTAGGAATGTCCTGGCCAGATGTGCCTGGAACTCCTCCCGTGACAGGGATCCCACCAACGCCCAAGGGAGTGAGCTGAGCTCTGAGAGTTGGGTCGCAGAGATGGAAGGGGAGGAACGGGGTCTAGGTTGGTCAGGAAGCCCCCCATGCTTACACAGATGGCTCATCTTTGAAGGGATCTTCCCCGCAGGGGTTCTTGGTCCTCCTCTACCTCGGGCTTATGTCCCTCGTCACTGGCCATCACCTCCCAACCCCTCGCTGCCTGGCCTTACACTTCCTCCCTGGAGTCCAGCTGTTTGCCCAGGCCTTCCTACCCCATCTGGAAAGTTCTGTCAACCCCAGAGGTGGCTTCTGTCTGGAGCCCGAGGATGGGCGGCGTGGGTGGGGCAGGGTGAGAAACCATTCACAAGAGCTCCCACAGGCAGGGGAGGGGAGGGAGTGGGTAGATTACAGGAGGGGCTCTCCTTCCTGCTTGGGAACTGGAGGAGGCCAGCTTTGGGCCAGCTGTTGGGCTAGGCACTGAGAGCCTCCCTCTGGGGCCAGGGACAGGGGAAGCGATGAGATGAAATTACACAGAACTCACTGCCCAAGCAGGCCAGCTTCAGAGGACGGACATGTAGACTAAAGTCCAGATAGTGCGACTGGGCCAGAGTCAGAAGAGCAATCTTACCTTCCACACTGTGATGTGCACTTAGCCCGCCCCTGGGTGGGGCGAGGGGCCCCGGGCTGTGGGGAAAGTGCACAATGCAGACCATGTCGAGTGAGGGGAATTCTAATCTTGGGGCTGGGGTTACAGACCCTCCTGAGTAAAAGCCCATACATATCCTCTTACCCTCTCGGTTCATTGGGAATGTGTGCCAGGCCCGCCCCCCACCAAGCCCAGACAGGTGTCCCAGGGCGTTGAAAAGAAACCAGTCAAATTTTTGAAAAGCCGCCTTCGCAGGCCACGTCCTGGGTGATGGGAAGGTGAAGCCCTGCCTGCAGTTAGCTTAGTCTCAAGGAGTCTGAGCCTACCAAGCTGCTGGTCCCTTTCCGGGAAGGGGAGATGGGCAAGGGAAGTGCCCAAGTACCGGGCCCTGAGATGACACATTTGGAAAAGCAGGGTGCAGAGAAGTTGATGATGTGTGCCTTGCTCCACGTGCCCCTCATGCCCTCCTGGTACCCAGCAGGTGAAGACAGATGAACGAATCCTGCAAACGGAGCAGGGGCTGCTGTTTCGCAGGCTCAGCCGCCTCGATGAGGGCACCTACACCTGCACTACGCTGGAGCACGGCTTCTCCCAGACTGTGGCCCGCCTGGCTCTGGAGGTGATTGTGGCCGCACAGCTCAAGAGCCTGCTCCACAGGGAGCAGAGGCCAGAGGAGCCCCCTGCCCGGGGAAGCCTGGCCTCCACTTCGCCCAAGGCCTGGTACAAGGACATCCTGCAGCTCATCGGCTTTGCCAACTTGCCCCGGGTGGATGAGTACTGTGAACGCATGTGGTGCTCCTCTCGGAGCCGGGGCAAACAGGCCAAGGGCAAGAGCTGGGCAGGGCTGGAGCTGGGCAAGAAGGTGAAAAACCAGGTGCAGGCGGAGCGAAATCGGACACCCCGGGAGGTGGAGGCCACATAGTAGGCAAAGGAGGGGGTGGTTGGGATGGGCCCAGTATCAGCTCCTAGTGTCTCCCACCCACCCAATTAGGGCAGAGGGGGCCAGCAGGCTTGATCACCCCTTAGAGATGGGAGTCTCTGCCCCTACACCCCTACGAGGCCACTACAGGAAAGGCTGGGGGCCTGACGGAGGGACCCTGTGCCTGTTCCTTGCACCTTTCTGCTCTTAGTTCCAGATGGAGCCAGCACTCTCTGGCAATCCCAGTGAGCCTGCTATGTGTTCTCAGAGGTGGCCCCAGAGCATGTTTCCGGCTGTGCCCAGAGGCAAGAGGACTGGGTGGTTCTTTCCCAGCTGCAGAACAATGGCCATTCTGAATGGCCCTTAGAGTGGGCTTGCAGTTGCCTCTGAGGAGGTAGTGGCAGGGGGCCCTTAGCCAGCCAGAGGAGGGTGGACGTTACTCCTGAGCTCGCTAGCACTGGTTGAGAAGACCTACACTGACGGAGCTGCGGGGGGAGAGAGCAAGTGCTGAGAAGGTAGACCCCGCACCCCCTACTTCGTGCCCTGGTATCTTGGTGGTAACCTGCTGCTGCGCACTGCCCCTTCCCTGAAGCATAAACTGCTAGAGCTCCCTGGAAGCTGTGGGCGAGCTGGGCCTCAGGCCCTGCTTCATAAACCCAGGGCCTCACAGCCCGACTTGCCTTCCCTAGGCCCCGGAGCTGCCAGGCCACGTTCCCTGGGATGCCTACCCCTCCTGATAGTATACCCCCCTCCCCACCATCAGGGTCTCCATGCTGATGGGCATGGTGAGGATGGGGTCTAGAAGAAGGTCATCTCCATCTCTGGGGACTAGAGATGGGGAGAGGGGAGCTGGGGAGGAGTGGGTTGTCTTTCCCAGAGCAACGCAAGCACGCCCACGGCTTGGGAGGGTGGGAATGTGGCAGTTCTGAGAGCAAGCTGCAGCTGGTGGGCAGGACCAGGGAGGGGCGGGATAGGGCTACCCCTGGGGACACAGAGGATTGAGAGCCTTTTGAGATGGGGAGAGGCTGGGAGACCCGAGGATGGGCCAAGGGACCCGGGAGCAGGCATGCTTAAGGACTCAAGATGGCATCCATTAGCTCAGAAGCCACCAGGAAAGCCAGATGTGTTCCACCCCAGAATCTTTGGTTTCTGCTAAATAAGGGTTGGTTGTGGATGGTTCATTTATGAAGCTTTTTTTTTTTTTCTTTTAAGAGGAAAAAGCTGCTAAGAGCTCTAGGTCCTGCTGGTTCTTGGGTCTGAGGCTCAGGTGGTCCGGGCGGAGGCATTCTGTCTGCGCACTTAGGGAGGTGTTTTGCCATCAGCAGCAATGTCTTTTTGAGCTGGGGAGCACAGCAGGGGAGGAGGAGGAGGACTAAATGAAAAGTTGTTCCTGGCCTGCCTTGTGAACACGTTAGTGACGCACAAAACCAACAGGAGGGAGACAGGGGCATCAGGTTCAAGATTCCTTCCGTTAAAAAACCAAGATGAATAAAGGAGGGAAAAATCGATAAAAAGCAAGACAGGGCTTCCTGTCCCATTGAACTCAAACCCAAACTGTATCTGCCTTGGATTCTAGCCATGCCTACCCCTTAACCCCCAGCTGGAATCTGAAACAGGCCCTCCTTCCACCCTTCACACAATCAGTGAACGAGAAGCATTGAGATGAACCTGACAACGCTTTGGGAAGCCTTGGCCTCGGTTGCTGTGGCTGGGCTGTTAGCAGGTAAAAGCAGAGCAGAGGAGGACTGTGGGCAGGGGAGCTGGTGGAGAGGAGAAGGGCAGACAGAGGTTATGGAGGACGGGAAGGAGAGGGCGCAGAGCCCCAGGAATGATGTCAAAGCTGCAGCCGGCTCCGCCCCTCTGCCCGGGGAAGCCAGGAAGAAACAATCAGGCCCTCAGTGGTCTGTAGTCTGGACCCAGGCGTGGCTGGCTCCAGGTAGGGTCCTCTGGGGGAAGCTACTCTGAAAGACGGAAGGAGGAGCTCGAAATCCTGAACAACAAATGCCCTCACTTGGAAAATTATGGACAGATTCTACCAACTCCCAACCCCCATGGTACTATGTGTTATAACTCCTGGAAATGCCTCTATGTGTGAATTCTATTTTTGTATTCATATTGAGATGGACTTTGTGGTTTCTCTGTCTTCAGAATATACTTCCTCTAATTACTATTGTTATTTTGTCACGACCACCCCTGAGCTCTAGTGAGGATAGTACAGTGGTCTACCACACAGAACCTACAGGGAAGGGGATGAAGTTAATATTTACATCACATAATTATGTTATTGTATCTGTGTATTTCTGTACTAAATCGACTGATACCATGTGTGTGAAGTGGAAATGGGGAGCCTTTCCCATCCATTCCATGAGGGAGAAGGCCTCCCTAGGTAGTATTTTCTAGAAGGGAGGGTGGGCATCAAGGGAAGGAAGGAGACAGAGGGTATTTGTCTATGAAGCTGAGATTGCTTATTAAATTAGGAAAATCCTGCCCTTTGGGCTTCTGAGACTGACCTTCTTGGAACTTCAGGAAGATCTTGAGCCAGAAAAAAAAAAAAAATGCTGGCAAAGGGCAGCCGGGCATGTAGGCAGCTCTGCTTCTTTTTCACAGTAACACTTGACATTTGTGACAGCAACACTTGGCCTCGTGCCTGTCTTCATCCCAACTCACATACCAACATTTATTAAGGTCACTGTGCTCTTGCCTGGGGGGCCAGGCTGTGCTGTGGGGGCTGCAGTTTCTGGGCAGGAGGGGAAGCCCCAATAGTCTGGCCTACTGTGTGTGCCGTAGAAGGCTCCCACTCCTTTGTGACAGTGTGCTGCTGCTCAAAGAGCAGACTCCACTGGTGATGGAGGGAGGTGAGAAAAGGTGGGGATGGACATTGCCCTACCTTGGCCGAGAGACTAGCCTCTTGCTTGGATGGGCCCCCCAATCCATGTGATAGACTCGGGGGAGCTTCATAGGTCAGTCATCGGTCCCATCTTGCAGCCTGGGGCCCCTAGATTTGTCCCCTAGTTTCTGCACAAACACCCAGACCTGATTAAAACTGCAGCTCGGTTGCACCACCCCAAGCTCTCATCACCACCAACTCACGAGCATCATCAGGGCGCCCTCGTGGCACAGTCCTGGGCTGGCAGGGCTGTGCGAGTGAGACTTCCCCAGCCCCCTTCCGCCCCCACACATGGCTCTCCCTGGGGCACACAGTGCCTCTGCTCCCTCCGTCACTGCCACCCATGCCTTGAAGGCCCCTTGGGTACATGCACCTCTTCCTGACCCCATCCTCCTCCCTCCTCCCATCTTAAGCCCTATTTCCTGCCTCAGGGATTTCGCTCTATCTTCCTCTGCCAGCTTTTTCCTCTAAGTCTCATACTTCCCCTGGTCTTTGGGTCTCTGTTTTATGATTTCCCAAACACATTTAGAGCTGGAAAGGTCTTTGTTAAAGGCACTAGTCAAGTGTTTTTCAAAATGGTGTCCCGTGGAACAATTATCCCACAAAAATGGTCAAGTAAATCCAGGGCCTTCTGCCTCCTTAGCCCCCATGGAGCTGTGCACTGCCTGTTTGCTTGCCCTATGAAATCCTTGAGAAGCCCAGGATGATCTCTTTTTAATTTGCATGCCTACTGTGTGCTACACAATTCTCCAAAACATGTGGTCCCTGATCCCTTTTTTCCCCTGGAGCAGTTACCGTCTCACGTTTCTAATGTTTTGAAGAATATACTTTGGGAAACTGCTGATGAGATTCTTTCCCTTAACCTGTGATATTGCTAACCCCTGCCTTCTAAGCCTGTAAACTTCAGAGGGCCTGACTTCCCAGATGAAATAGCCACATCTTGGTTTCCCAGGGCCAACACCAGAACAGGACCTGCCACCTCAGGGTCAGGCTGCCAGGCTGCTGATCCTCGGGCCTCCACACCCAACCTGCTCCCAGCTCACTTCCTGCTCCCCCTGTGTCTGGCATGGTCCTCTGTGGGGGGCTAGGATTCACCCCAAGCCTGTGACTGTCCTGCAGTCCACAGACTAGTTTCTAAGGAAAGGCAGGGGTCATGGAGAAGGCAGGATAAGGGAGGAAAGCAGCCCTTTTTCTCAATGGCTTCTGTGCTTCTCTTTCACTCAGCTAAGCCCCTCAGGTCCAGACACACCAAGAATCTCCCAGTTGGAAGAGTGGGCAGGCAGCAGCCAGGGGGAGCCTGGCCTCCCCCGCCAGGCTATCCTTTCCGGAAGACAGAGGCCCCAGATAGAGGGAAAGCTGGGTGGACCCTGGAAAACTTGCTTGCATGCTTCTGCTAGCCCAGCAAATTGAAGTTTCTTCAGCCAGCCAAATCTCCCTCTTAGAACTAGGAAACACTCCAATTTCCAACTGAGTTAAGGATCCACCCCAGCCTTACCCAAGTCCTGGTTTGCAGGGGCTTCTGCAAGGAGAAAGTTCAACGCACACTAAGATCAAATCCCCAGGGTTTTCTGAGACTTGGCCCTGGTACGGACAGAGAATGAATGGGTGGGGCTAGGTTTGGATACAATTCCTGATAAGGAGCTCAGGGATTGTTGGACCCCCACCCTGGCTCCTCTTCCGGACTCACCCACACCCCTGGGGCACAGATGAGGAGGCAATGGGCTGCTGTGGCCCTTGCCCACTTCCTACTGCCCAGCCCCTGCCACCTTTGCCATGGGTACCACTGCTGGGCCCCTGTCCCTTAGAGACTATGTTCTAAGGAAGCCTTTCACTTTCCATGTTGGATTTTCATTAAGGAAACTCCTGGTTCTCCAATGCAGCCTTGGAAAAAAATCATTTTCCACTGAGGATGGGAAACACTGCAGTCTCCAGGGAGGGAGCCTCTTAAAGGATGCCTGTCCTCATCCTCACACCAGGCCACCAGCAGCCAGTCAGTAGCTTGTACTTAGGACTCTGCTGATGAGGGGACTCAGGTGACCGACCAATCTTGACTTCTTCCCCCTAGGGAGGGAGATGACTAAAGTGTACCCTAATCTATACCAATGAGGTATGTTTCACTGGGATGAGCATCCCATTGGGCAGAGAGAGAAGACCAGGGCAAGGGAACAGTTGTGGGCCGGTGAGGATTCCAAAGTGAAGCAGAGCCCAGGTCTCTTCCATCATCAAACGGAGGCCCAGACTGTCCTGTTAGGAG